CCACCACATCCCTGGCCCATTCCCATGGTTAATGAGACTCGCTGTTAATTTGTGCCTAATTTCTCATTGGGATTTGTCTGGCTTCAGCTGGCAGCCATCGGTTCTTGTCCCGCCTTTCTCCACTGGATTAGGGAGCCCTATAGTGCCCTGTAATGTGTCCCCCTCAAGGTACTTATACACTGCAATCCAGTCATTTCTCTGTCTTTGTTTTGATAAAATAAACAGGTTGAGATCCATGCGTGCCTCACTGTGAGCCATTTTCTCCAGTCCTCAGAGAAGTTTTGTGGCTCTTTCCTGCACTCTCCCCCAGCAGGGTGCAGGAGCAGTGAATTGGGGGGCTGTACGCTATGCTGGGAGGCGTCTCGCGCTGCCCTCTGGATGGGGGTCTCCATGTTCCCACAGTGCATGGCAGGTGCTTTCTGGGAGCAAGGTCTCTGGCTGGGTCAGGTTGGAGCAGGGAATGTCACAGAATTGGCTCTGGATTGACTCTGGAGTGGCACCGTGTTTGAAGTAGGGCCAGGTAGCTGCTGACCCAACCCCTGGTGGGTGGGTGGGGCTGGGCCCCTGCCAGAGTCTCCTGCTGAAAGAGAGGGCGGGGGCGGGGGCTGGACTGTCCTGTCTTGTGGGTGCATTTGTGCCCTGTGGGGAGTTTGGCTTCCAGTAGCCAACAGCACGTCTGGGGGAGGGAGCAGGCATGCACACCTATCTGCCTGCCCCCGAGGAGCCTGGTTTAGCACATGCTCCTGGCAGACCGCTGGCAAACGGGATGTTTGGTCCCTGTGGGCCTGTGCATGGAGGTGAATGCGGGTAGGCAGGGGTGCGAGGGGGGAGGGGCTTGTAGCCTGTCTTTGAGGGGGAGAGATGCACTGAGTGTTGGAGACAGCCATTGCATGGCGGACGTGCTGGGGGGATGATGCTGGAGGGGTCGTACTGAACAGGCATGTGGGGAAGGGAGATGCACCCACTGTTTGAGCTGTTGGCTCCCTCCCCCGCTGTGAGGTGCCTGGAACCCTTTGGGTGGACGAGCAAACAGGGACTGGGGCTGCAGCCAGTGGGTGAGGGACGCAGCATTGGGGGCTGTCACAATGACCCGCCCAGGAACAGGTCCCTCTGCCTCCTGTGCTATACCCAGGGTGCTGTGCTCTGGCTGGAGCCCTGCTGCCCGGGGGGGCGTCCCCTCTTGGTGGTGAGTGCTGTGGGGTCTGGCGGTAGGGGGGCTCAGCTGGCGCTAGTGGGCTGCGTTCACTCTGAGGTTTATCGGCTGTCCTCTCCCCTTGCCTCCTGTAGGGTTTGAGCCATCGTCCGGGCCAGGATGAGCTGGAGTTTCCTGACCCGGCTCCTGGAGGAGATCAACAACCACTCAACCTTTGTGGGCAAGGTCTGGCTCACTGTCCTCATCATCTTCCGCATCGTGCTGACGGCCGTGGGCGGCGAGTCCATCTACTACGACGAGCAGAGCAAGTTCGTGTGTAACACGCAGCAGCCGGGCTGCGAGAACGTCTGCTACGATGCCTTCGCGCCCCTTTCCCATGTCCGCTTCTGGATCTTCCAGATCATCATGGTGGCCACGCCGTCCGTCATGTACCTGGGTTTCGCCATGCACCGCCTTGCCCGCGGGCCGGGGGGCCACCGGCGGGGGGGCGGGGGCCCGCGGGTGCGCATGCCCGTGGTGCGGCGGGGTGCCGGGCGGGACTACGAGGAGGCAGAGGAGGATAACGAGGAGGATCCCATGATCTTCGAGGAGATCGAGGTGGAGAAAGAGAAGGGCGGGGAGGGGGGTGAGAAACACGACGGGCGCCGGCGGATCCGCCAGGATGGGCTGATGAAGGCCTACGTGCTGCAGCTGTTGTGCCGCTCGGTGCTGGAGGTGGCCTTCCTCTTCGGGCAGTACGTGCTGTACCACTTTGAGGTGAGCCCCTCGTACGTGTGCAACCGCAGCCCCTGCCCGCACATCGTCGACTGCTTCGTCTCCCGGCCCACCGAGAAGACCATCTTCCTGCTCATCATGTACGCTGTCAGCGGGCTCTGCCTCTTCCTCAACCTCCTCGAGCTCTGTCACCTGGGGATCGGCCGCATCCGGGACTTGGTGCGCCAGAGCAGCGACAGCCCGAGCCCCCACGACAGCCACTCTGGGCCGCACTATGCCAAGAAGGCCCCCAGCGCGCCTCCCACCTACCACTCGCTGAAGAAAGAGCCCCTCAAGGGCCAGCTGGCCAACGGGAAGCTGGACTACAGCGGGAACCTGGCCAGCTCTGCAGCCGAGCGCTCCCGTGAGCACGAGCTGGACCGGCTGCGCAAGCACCTCCGCATGGCCCAGGAGCACCTGGAGATGGCCTTCCAGCTGAACCCCCCGCTGGAGACGGCCAGCCCCGCGCGCAGCAGCAGCCCTGAGGCCAACGGTCTCGCTGCCGAGCAGAACCGCCTCAACTTGGCCCACGAAAATGAAGGGTCTGCTTGCGAGAGAACCACAGGTGAGGAAGGTCTGGGCCTTGCCCGGGCCGTGCCCCCAGCTGTCTCCCAGGCGCTAGCCTGCCCGTGTCTGTGTCCCCAACCACGGGGCTCTCTCGGACTCCTCTTGGGGTGCTGCAGCAGGACCCTAACGTGCGTGTTCTCCTCCCCACAGGATTGTGAGCGGCTGGGCCCCTCAGCGGCTGCAGAGATGGTGACAGGGAATGGCTCGGACTGGCAATATGCTCCTGAGGAGACCACTGGAATCTGGACAGCCTGTGCTGAGGAAACGGGGGAGGGGGGTGGACGACACAGGGTTGGGGGCTGAGCTTCTGAGGAGGGCTGGGCTGGGAAGCCCTCTGCCTCCTGTGGGGCTCCAGCAGGGCAGGCTGGCATGGGGAGGTGACTTGTGGGGAGGAACATTCCTTCACTTTTCTCACTTTTTTTAGAACAGGGAATCTTTTATTTTTGTACTTTTTATAAACTTGTCAGTGCACATCCCCAGCCCCCGCCCCAAACACCTGCGGCCCTCCTCCCCACTGGGACCTTCAGCCAGCCCCTTCCCAGCCCTGTGACACACACACACACACACACACACACACACACACACGCCCTGCCCTGCCCTGCCCTGCCCTGCCAGCACTGAGGGATGCTGCACTGTCATGGGAAAGGGCTTGTGTGCAGTCGCATGGAGGCGGTTGCTTTCCCACGGTGGCAGGGAGCTGTCTCAAAGTGGGAATCCTATGGGATCCAGCGGGGCTGGGCCTATGTGCACCATCCCCTTGGGGTCCTTCCTCCAAGCTGGGTCTGACATCTTCATCTCGATCTCGTGGCTGCAACCGGCCTGGGGGAGCCAAGCCAGTGGAGACGCCTACCCAGAGTTGCAGGCAGACTGGGTCACACCGAGCTTTAAATATGGGGCATCCATTCCCTGTGGGGGGAGGGGAGCTGGTTCCCAGCTGAGCTGCAAGTGGGAATGGCCAGTCTCTGCACGGGAGGTCTCTGCATGGGAGAGCCCTGGTCCCTGGGTTTTTGTCAGGGGGCCTGTTCCAGACAGGGCCCCTGGGTGTCCCCTCCACCTAATGCCAATCCAGAGAGCATGGGCTGGTGTGGGGGTTGTAGATTAGCAAGAGGAGCAGGTCTCTGGGGGGTGAATAGGGCACTACGAGGTGAGGGTTTACATGCTACCCAGCGGGAGGGCAGAGGCTGCGCTTAGAGGGCAGCCGTGCTGTTAACTCAGCCCCAAGGGCCAAAGACCCGCACTGATTGTAAAGCAGCTTGTGGAAGCAGCGGCACACGGGCCCCCTCCCTCCCCACGTCGCACACGTAGGTACGAACTGCCAGGCTGGGGGCTCTGCCCAGGTCCTGGTGTCTGATTTGCACGGGGAAGAGGGACTGGCATCTCCGGCTCCCTGCCAGCGGGGCCGGTGTGGCAGGGGCCCTGACCCAGCCTGTCTCCTTCACTTCCCCTGCCGGCAGCTTTGCATCTGGCTGGCTGGGGCTTGGGCCAAAGCTGATTCAGTTACATTCCAAGACTCAGGCATCCCGGAGGCATCCGCTTTCCTGTCTGGGGCATGGCGCGGCAAATGCAGGTTCCTGTGCTGTGGCAGGGCCTGCATGCCTTCGGACAGTCCAGAACCAGCTGGGAAATGCTGGGTGTGTCTGATCATCTCAGCCTGGGTCACGTGATTATTTTGTGTCTTTGCTTTTTACTCAAATGATTATGAAGTGTTTATATTTTAGTAAAACTTGGAGATGTTTTGTACAGAGCCCTGCAGCTGGTTCTTCAGGGGGGCGGGCTGGGGGAACTGCATAGAAAAGCAGAGTGCTGCCCCGGATCTCTCACTCCCAGTGTGGCTTTCCCTCCTCCTCCTGACCCAGGCACTGTATGTGTGCACAGGGAGACCGTTGAACTGTGGTTTGCCAGATTAGAAAATACGGGGCATGGACACATGGGGGCCCTCATCCAGCTCGCTGGTGTTCATCACAGAGACCTACTGTCCCGGGCCATATCTGGGCTGGGGACGGAGCAGAGTGTGAATCCTGGTCCGCCTTGAGGCTGGATGGGAACCTGGGCCATCTGGAGGAGAAAGGCCCTGTCACCCACCCCCTGCTCCCGAGGCAGCCAATCCCCCCTGTCCCGGGGCACTATTGGTGCAGGTGCTCGCTCCAGAACTGAGCTGAGTGTCTCGGAGCCCAGAGGGGTTTGGGGCGGGTCTGGGCCAAAAGGGCTTGGTGAGGCACGGGAAGGGGATCCGGGGGCCCTTGGCACGGGCTGTGAGATTGCTCAGTGAACACCGGAGCAGGTGAGTAGAGGCGGCTGTGCCCAGGAATGCAGGGGAGCAGCAACAGCAAAAAGCCAGTTTTCTGCGCCTCCTATTTCAGCCAGCTCTGGTGACCCTTCGTCCCCTGTAAGCTCTGCGTGCCAGACTGGGCAGATGTTCGGCCCTTGGGCTGTGTCTGGCTGCTTGGCCGCCTTGTGCCATCATGTCAGGCGATGATCGGCGGGTGAGAGACCTTCCCCCATGCAGCCGGTGGTGGTGCAGTGAGTTGGGAACCAGGAGATAGAAGTTCTGGTTTCATCTTTCCTGTGCTCAGCTCCCTCCTGCGCAAGGCCTTGCACCCCTCTGGAGCAGGGAGCCCAGTATTGGTAAAATAGGGGCACAAGGTCACTTCTGGCCTAATTCTGACTACAACACGGCTCTCGATTATGGCAAACCCATCTCCGTCGCTTGGCGCATCTAGCCTGGAGGACAGTGTGGCCAAACCCCTCTGTCCGACCACTACAGCCGTGACCCCTGCTGAGCCCTCCCAGATCCAGAGAACCTGGTCCCTCACCGCTGATATCCTACGGCGAGCTGGCAAATAGCTGTATGCAGGGCTGGTCCCCAGGCGGTCCCGTGCTCCAGGCTGGCCCTGGTCTGTGCTGGAGCTGTGATGGCGGAGTTCAAATCCTGCCCGTTACACCCTGGGGAATGTTAGGGTTGCATGTGATCAGAATTTGCATTTCCACTCCCTGGAAACAAGGATTTATTTAATTTACTGTGTGAGAAAACCACCTGTATAGCTACTCGAGTGCAGCCTGCCCCCCAGGCCGGGTGCCCCCCAGCGCTACACTTGCTGGTGCAGGGGGAGGCTGCATGGCCCAGCCCCTGCACTCTGCCCCCTGTCCCAGCCTGTCAGGCCAGGTAGAGCGCAGCTGCCCCCTCTGAGCCAGGCCTAGCACTTGCTCCTACTTTCCCACGGGTTGCACGGGGAGATGATGCCCCTGTTTGTCAGCCAGGCCGGGAGCTGCAGCAGCCCACGCGCGGAGGGGGACCAGTGCTGCCCTGGGGAGCAGCCCGGGGCCTATCTGAGGCGGGGCCTGCAGGGCAGAGGCTCTGCTAGGGCTCAGTTCCCTTAGTCCCAGTCTTGTGATTTCCTGGGGCAGGGGACGCTCCCTTCCTGCTCCCCACGGCCGGCACCACACCCCAGCTTCAGGCTGAGCAATATCCTGCCAGCCCCAGCGCCTCCCTCCCCCGGCTCTGGCTGGGGCGGTCAGAGCCTTCGCCAGCCCTCTCCCAGCTCAGGCCTCGGGTGGGGTTACTGAGGGGGGGAAGCTTGGCAGGGTATTGGGGTAATGAAGGGTCCTCTGCCAAGGGCACTGAGGGAGCAGCCTGGGCTCGCTGGGGAGGGGCGGTGAGGGAGCAGC